ACAGTCGGTCAGGAACTATCTTGAAAACTGCTTTTATTACTGTGAAACTTTAGGCAAAAGATTCGAGTGTGTGAGTTTATGGGCCTTATTTTAACTGAATTAGAATTAATATTACCGGGGTAAGGTGGCCCAAATTGGGCAAGTACTCGGGAAATAAAAGACTAGTGACACCTGTTGCAGCAGCAAGGAAGTTATTAGGGAAACATGAGAAATGTTTTCTATCCTTATTTGCACTTCAGCAATTGCAGTACAAACAACTGTTAATTGCTTTTTAAAACAGGGAAATACAAAGAAGGGGTCAAAGGCTTTATAAAGCGGTCGTGTCTAGATCTCCCATTCATTTATCGCAGAAGAACAATATCACATCATGTCAACCATTCCCTTGATCAAGATCATTCTGCTGCTCGCCTTCATGGTCGGATGCTGTTTGACCGGCTTGGTAAAAGAAGACCAGAGTAAGTACCAATCTTATAGTCTATGCAAAAGCAGTGACGCAGCGAGTAAAATCAACATGGTCAAGAAACTCTCGCTGTTAACATGCATCACTGCTTGAAAACGTACCTTTGATCAACACTTTTGTCCTATCTCAAAGATGGTAAAGGCCGTCTCTGACCATACCTTTACACCACATCAAAGATGGTGAAGGCCTTCTTTGATTTTTGTCAAAATTCGTGACACGGGCATCAAATATTTGTTATTAAGGCTTTTAAAAAAGTTGCTCGTTACAACGGCGAGTCATTCAGAAATGGGTGATAATGCTGGATTTTCTACCCTGAAGGATCAGATTATTTCTTCAGGGATTTCCTTCATGAGCTAGCGAAGGTGTTTGTAAAATGTTCGGTTTCTGTCGTTTGAGAAAAGGTGAGATATAACTGAAGTAGACCAGTTACGAATTCAAAAGGACCGGAGCAGTAGCGCAATAAAGCGGCCTTGAGAAGCGGAAGTTGCGAGCGTATCCTTTTGTTTTCGATGTGTGGATATACGTTAGAAAAACTTTTCAAAGTTCTAAGGAGTTCATAAGTTTTCGCCGAATCTTTTTTACTCTTGTTTGTATTTATTAAAACAGAACATTTCCAGAAAAAGACATTTTGAACGATGGAAGTTGATCGCTGGAAACAGAAATTAGATCTCTTTTTGTCGAGCGGCAAATTTGAGCACCAAGTAGTTTCTGGGCAGACGTAACTTTCGATGCGTGATTGTTCGGGATTGTCAAAGGTAAAGGTACCCACGAAACATTTCGGTTAAACGTCTGTTCGGGAGAGTCAAACCGTGGGAGACTTTTGGATCCTACGTTGACGAAAAGCTATTGATTTCTTTACTGAATCATTCATCACCTAAAAGATTCGCAACGGTGGAAATATTAGTCCCTACCGTTTTCGGAAGGGTCAGATTTGTTATTTTTTGGCATTCAAAAAAGTCAGCTAGCATTTTCGGGAAGCAAGTTCGTGAGATGTAAATTTCAGCCAGCAATTTCTGAAAGGAAGATTTTATTCCCTAAAATTTTCGGCCACTTGAATTTTCAATTGAGAAATCCGACCAGATCAAATTCTTCTAAACTAACGAAAACATCTCTTAAACAGTATTATACATTGCAAGGAACTTAGAATTATCTCTCTAAAGCTTTTACATGAATTTGCTCTTTGGGTGCCCTAGGATTGTTATTGCAAGCTTAAAGATCATCCGAATAGAAACTCTTTACCAGAAAACCTAAAACTGTGATTGTGTTCTTTGAAAGGAGACAGTCAAAGTTCTTTCAATCCAGCAATTGTGAATATTGATGCAAATTCTTCAACGAACGTATAGTTTCGGTGAAATATCTGTTCGGAAGGCCTTAGTCACCTCAGAATTTCGGATTAAACTATGTGAAAAAAACTAGAGTTTTCTTCGGTTAAATGCTACCTTGAACTTAAGTAACTTGGAGAAACTTTGGTCCCTTTTGTTTTCGGAAAGCTAAATGCGTTGAGATTTTCTACGAAGAAAGATCAACTGGCATTTTCGTAGAGGCATAATCAGCTCGTGATTTCGGCGTAAGAGTTTCCAATTCCTCAAATTTTCTGCCTCTTGCTTATTCAGCTAAGAAAACCCAACAAAGTAGGCCACTTATGGTCTAAGTAAATACTATTTACAGATGACCCTGTTAAAAAAGGTCATTGAAGGATCTGAGAACGTTAACGCAAGAAATAACTCTTAAACCTTTTCATAAAATTTTCCTTGTTGGGTGCCCCTGGTATTGGAGCAGGTTAGCTCATTGATGCTCAAAGCTATGGCTATTTCGGCAAACTCAAAGAATCATGTTTTGTAACTTTAAAAATTCCTGATGTATATGAGCAAGTCAATATAAATGTAATATTTCCGATGTACGTAATTCGACTATGGGTCATTTCAGCATTTAAAGAGTATTCTAGTTCCGCCAACAATTTCGAATCTTGTAATCATATAATCAAATCTTGTAGTCTTGTAATCATGTAATGATGCCATTCAAGGTATTTGTTGCAACTGATGCGCTGTGATTCAACACTGCTTTCCAGACCACTAGGCACTGAGGCAGAGAAGAGGGTAAAAATAATTAATCAAGTCCAGCATAATAATTATGTTTAGTGTGTTATTTTCATTGTTAATTCGGCAGATTTTCCCTTAAAGCGAGTGAAGAGAAATTTGTTGCAGTTCGGAGACATGATAAAGTGTGCGACAGGCCGCAGTGGTTTGGCCTACAACGGATATGGCTGTTGGTGTGGACGTGGTGGGAGCGGAACGCCAGTGGACGATACAGACAGGTATTTAACAGAAGCGTCCACTCGTCAAGTTTCTTCTTTCTCACTGCTCCTGTACACACCTAGCCAGTTATACACGTGCCGGTATAACTGGGGTTTATCATCATCATCATCATCATTATCATAATTATTATCATTGTTATTATTATTTTAATTATTATTAATATTATTATTATTATTATTTTTATTATTATTAATATTATTATTATAAGTGACTGAGATTTAAAGAATAAAAATTATTATCATCGTTATTATTAGTGTAAATTATGTCGCCCCTGGTTGTGGTGGGAACGTGAAAACTTTAGTGGCATAATCATAATCATAACAACGCAAAAGGTCTTTTGTGTTCCGGCCAATAAAAATCTAGTCCCGGTACTTTCGCGTCGTAGTCATTTTCAAGACTTTCTTCGAGGAGAGATTAGCTAGTTGATTAAGTAAAGTAAGTTGATCCACTTTTCTCAAGGGAATCAGTTACTACATATTTGCCATCGTCAGCTCCAAGGCAGAGTGGGAGCCCCCAGAGTTCTTGAAAGTCATGAGCGATTCCTGTCCATTGGTCACTTGTTCCAGGGGACTGTAGATACTGTTGTTTCGAGTAGTCTAATATCGCAGTAGAAGTTTCTTTAATAATTTTCGACATAGGCGACTTGCCAACACGTAAATGGAACGACTGTGATTGCTGAGAATCCCCAGATGCAAGGTATCGCAAAATAATTTATAGACGCTCAGCTGGTCCAACAGGTTCTCCAAGCTTACTGTACTTATCTGTTTGGATATACGTGGAGCAACCAGGCTAAGTAAACGTTCAAATCGCTTAGGAGACATTCTTATAAATTTTAAGTGCCACTCTCGTTCTCCGACCAGAAGTTCCTGAACAAGAGGATGGTAACATCCAAATCTTTGCCTTTCTCTAAATATCTCTCTCACCCTAAAACGTCGCTTGTTTGCTATTGTCTCTCATGCGACACCGCCGTGAATCAAGTAGTAACAGAATTAATATGCAGTGAAATGATCTGTTGGCGGAGGAATTCCCCATTTGATGCTGGTAATGAGAGCAGGCCTACAATAAGAGCAATGCGTAGGTTTGTACGGCAGTCATTATTGAAGCACGGTACGCAAAATAACCAAGTCATTCATGAATTTTAAAGCATCTCTTAAGACAAGATTTAAGATGCACGTTCCCACTAAATCATAAGAAGTTTATGTTTGTGATTGAGATTATGATTATGATTATAATCCGCATGTCTCTAGTGGGTTCTAAGCCTTACTGTTATTGTAACTGCTATTATTATTACTATTATTATTATTATTATTATTATTATTTATTATTATTATTGTTGTTATTGTTATTGTTATTATTATTATTATTATTATTACTATTGCTATCATTATCATTATTAGAGCGGTTTTCAATTGAGTGTCGTAAAACCAAAACCAAACCAATTACTTACCAATTAGACTACTCGGCCGATCTGAAACCGTAGTAAAACCAAAACCAAAACCAAATTAATTGTCTAATTACTTTCGACACTCAATTGAAAACCGCTCTATTATTATTATTATTATTATTATTATTATTATTACTCGGCCACTTCAGTTAAACTTTTACACAGAAAGTTCCATATTAAGTTAACGTACTATTGCCCTGTACATTGTCGGAAGCTCTCATCACGGCGCCAACCATGCTCCCCAACTGATAGTTGACAAAGTTAAGGGAAGGACCTCGTGAAGACAATTTTTCCGACCACAACAATTTGAGGAGTTTGTTGGATCTCATGATCTGTTAGCCAGAGCCAGTATAGCTCAAAATCAGATCAAACCAAAATTTGTTTCAGACGTAATTGTTAAAAAACGGAACCTAACTCGAAAGCAACAGTTTGCAACTTTCATAGATAGCTTTCCCCAGGTTTTAGAACTCTTGTGTGCATGGGACTGAAGCGAAAGACTTACCATTGAAGCGATTTTTTTTTATTCCATGAGGCGACTCGGGAAGAACGTTGCGTTTGATCACATTGTTTTCATCGTTCCGAGGAACTTCTTCTTCTTTCCTTACTGTTTGTGTTATTAATATTCTAGATGCTGTAAGACTCATGACGAGTGCTATGATCGAGCCTTGAGAAATAACTGTGACCCGTATTGGGATTGGTATGACCGATCTGGATGCACTGGTTGTGGTGAGGATTTTTTTAGTTGCATGGACTACCAAGTGGCATGAAATTTCGCGGGATCTAATTTTCGAGAATTTCGAGGTTTTTTCTACGATCCGCAAAAATTACATCCCATAAAAATAAATCCCCGCGAAAAACATTTCGAGANTATTATTATTATTATTATTATTATTATTATTATTATTATTATTATTACTCGGCCAATTCAGTTAAGCTTTTACACAGTAAGTTTCATATTAAGTAAACGTGTACTCACGACCTCGGTCAAGATTCTCCCATACAGACCTCCTGCTCGGTTAATAAGAGCTAGTTATTGCCCAGCAAAAAGAGACGACTCTACACGTACATTGGTGGAAGCTCTCACCACTGCGCCAACCCAGCTCCCCAACTGATAGTTGACAAGATTAAGGGAAGGACCTCGTGAGGACAATTTTTCCCACCAGAACAACTGGAAGAGTTAGTTGGATCTCATGATCTGTTAGCCAAAACCAGCATAGCTTAAAATCAGATCAAACCAAAATTTGTTTGAGATGTAATTGTTAAAAACGGAACCTAATTCGAAGGCGACAGTTTGCAACTTTCATAGATAGCTTTCCCAAGGTTTTAGAACTCTTGTGTGCACGCGACTGAAGCGAAAGTCTTACCATTGAAGCGATTTTTTTTTTCCATGAGGCGTCTCGGGAAGAACGTTGCGTTCGATCGCCATGTTTTCATCGTTCCGAGGAACTTCGTCTTCTTTCCTTACTGCTTGTGTTATTAATATTCTAGATGCTGCAAGACTCATGACGAGTGCTATGATCGAGCCATGGAAGAGGACTGTAGGCCGTATTCGGATTGGTATGACCGATCTGGATGCACTGGTTGTGGTGAGGATTTTTTTAGTTGCATGGACTACCACGTGGCATGAAATTTCGCGGGATCTAATTTTCGAGAATTTCAATTCGCGGTTTTTTCTACGATCCGCAAAAATTACATCCCATAAAAATAAATCCCCGCGAAAAAAAGTCCGAGGAAATTAACTCCAATTACAAGGATTCTGCGCCAACGCTTGTCGAAGACGTGAAATAATGTTGATTAAAGAACAGACCACGAAATAACAGCTGTTTAACTTTGTCTGTTCTACGATACTGCTGTAGTATTGCACTTATTTTGCTCGGCCTAGGATGACATACAAAGTTGCAATCGAGGACTGAAGACATTAGCTTATTAGGAAAACAAATAAAACATCACATTCCCTCGTTTTTATATGAAAGTAACCAGACAGAAAATTGTCGAAGATTCGTTATAATTTTTTCTGTTACATCATGATCTAAATAATAGCAGAAACTTAATGGGCGATTAGTCCCGGTGGAACCCCACGCAGGAAGCCGGCCGGTGGGCATTTTCCGTCTATTACATTCGCTTCGAGGGTTTTCAAATTGTTTCATTTTTTAATTTTCAACACAGGGCCATAGGACGGTTTAATTTACTGAGGGGGGCGGGGGGTGTGAGGGGGGAGAGGGAACATCACGAGCGTTGAAGGCACTAGATTCTAGAGAGGTCCGAGGCGTGCTTCCAAGGAATTTTTTGAAATATATTGTCTGAAATAGCATTTCCAGCCATCTGAGACTATTTTCTGGCAATTTTTAACTGACTAAAACCATTGATCGGATATTTTGCTTCAACGTTGTACTCTTCTGATTGAACAGGTTTGTACAAATTGATATGCAACTTGTCAGTGTTGTATGATGGATAAATTAACCTATTATATAGACCNATTGATCGGATATTTTGCTTCAACGTTGTACTCTTCTGATTGAACAGGTTTGTACAAATTGATATGCAACTTGTCAGTGTTGTATGATGGATAAATTAACCTATTATATAGACCTCAGGGACAGTAACATTTCTTTACCTAATTCGGATGTTTGAGTTGACTTCGAGGGAAAAGACAACCTTAGGGGTATATCTTTGCAGTAAATTTCCAAACAACTGCTGTCTTTTTCACGCTGTCCAAGAAACTCGTTGGCTGCAGTCACTAGGTCAGTCTTGTCAGTCCTGACCCTGTGGACATGAAGCATCATGAGATGGTTCAGCCCTGCGTCTCCAGTTGTTGCACGAAAAAATGTCTTTACATGCTTCAAAGCGGAAAATGGCCGTTCTCTCGCAGCACTCTTTGCTGGTATTGCTAACAGTAACTTACCCAGCAAGGCAAATCTCGGACAGAAGCAATTTGTGGGAATCATCAATTGACTGAAAATATGATATCAGGCTATCAATGCTGAATCTTGATGAGTCATAACCCATTAAGGGTTTGATAACCATTTGATTTTTTGATTTTTCTCGAGACCAGAATAACGTTTACCGTTAATTCGTAACTCGCTCTGCATTTATCACTATCGTTAATTTAGAACACAAACTGTGTGCAAGGACTCCTGAGATCCGAGAAATTGTCGGGGGAAAATCACCTCTACATCTGACTGGATTCGAACCTGGCACTCCCGCTCAGTGAAGCAAATCCCTACCACGAGACCACTGAGAAACGCGATGAAATTGTAAATTTTAAATAGGCATTAAGTAGATTCCTGCTCGATGATCATTAATGCACTTATATCATTGTCTTTCCCTTGGTGGGGCGGGGAGGGAAGGGCGGGCAACCCAGGGGAATTTGACGACCTACCTTGTCCCCGAGTGGGGATTTCGACTTCTAGGTTGGGGTATTTTGTCAATCCGCCATCTTGGAAAAGTTTGGAGAGCCTGGTACCTATTTACTCCTAAGGTGAAAGCACAACATGGCGCTTGAATTCGTAGAGGGTATTATATGTGCTGGAGGATTTCTTGCTGACTGAATTAAATGAGTCTCAGTGATTTGACCGTCATTTGCTTGTGTTATTCAGTTTGTGAGTGTCATGGATGTGTGATTTTATAGGCCTGAGGTTTGAAATTCTGGTGAAGTTTGGTTTTTGTTTTCCTGCTGTGACGGTTTTCTCGGTGATCGTTTCTCTTGGCTATGCCGTTTTTCTCAGAGAAATTCAGCCTTTTTAGTTCATTTCCCTACATTTATGCACAATTTACAAGATTGAAAGCCTTCTTAATCGTCTCCTTGCAACGATTGAGTCGCCTGGCCTGGCTGTTCTTTGTTGCAAGCCATCTGTTTCATTTATACGAGGGTCTGAATGGGGTTAACGGACTAGCGAAAAAGGGCGAAAAATATCACTGACTTCCGACAAAACGAGGAAATATAATAATAGTTTAGTTTTTGTTTTGATTAGGGTTATCGACATTAACAGTCTAGTGTTTTAGAAAATTGGAAAAGGTATTGATTTCAAGGGTTCATAACCAGGTCACCCGTAATTTTATGTTGAGAATTATCTTCAGTGATCGTAGCGGTTTAGTAGTGTAGTGGTATGGGGTACGGAATTAGTAAGCGAGAGATTCCAGGTTGAATTCCTCTCCGGTCTTGAATGACCTTTTACGAAAAACATGCTGGTTGCCAGAATTCGGTTCAAACCGTGAGCGTCTCCAAATTGAACGGAACAGTTGGCTTCTGTGGCTCGAATCAAGCAGACCTTAAATTAATCAATCTCTCAACATACCATACTAAGATATTAAAGTTTTATTTATCTCCCATAGCCGAAAGCATCAACCCCGGGAAAATCGTAGAAAAGCAATAATGATGTTAAGTACAAACTTTTACGATAGATCCTTTTTTTCTTCTTTATATGTTAGGTTCAAATAACGACCGCTGTGAGAAGCTCATTTGTGAGTGCGACGGAGCTGCTGCTCGCTG